CCGGCTACATGCCTGGCCTGAGGCAAGTGTGAATGTTGCAAATTGGCCACCTTTGTTAGCATTGAATGGCCTTTCAGCTTCAAAGTCAGGCTGCTTCCTGCCTGGGGGAATCCTTTGTTTGGAAGTGTTAGCTGGCCCTGATTGTTTCTTGTCTGGAATTTATCTGTTTTTTTACTGTTCCTCAAGGTGGCTAATTAGCAACATTCACACTTGCCTCCAACAGACAAGAGTTCTGGACATTTCACAGATATATAAACCCCATTTTCCTGGCTTCTAGTAGACTTCACAACTTCTAAGGACACCTGCCATAGATGTGGGTGAAACATCAGGAGAGAATGCCTCTGGAACATGTCTGTACAGCCCTGAAATCTCACAGCAACCCAGTGATTCTGGCCATGAAAGCCTTCAACAACAAAACAGTCTAAACTGAAGAAATTGGAGTGTTAGCACAGTGTTGTTGATGCGTCTTCAAGTCCTTTGTAACTTATGGAGAGCCAAGCAAACCTCTTGTGAGGTTTTCTGGGACGGAGAGTGTGGCCTGCCCAAAACTGCCCAGAGGTTTCCGATGCTGAGGGGGATCTCCAGAGTCTTAGTCCAGCATTCCAATCACTTGTGTCACATTGGATTTCCAGAATTGGAGTGTGCCCTTTACTCTTTAAACATCTCAAGGACTGTCAGAAAGAAGGAGGGTGTATGTTTGTTCTTTTCTCCACAGAGGGTAGAACCAAGTTAAAGGTACTAAAGTACACGAAAATAGTTTTAAGTTGAACATTAGTAGCAATACTGTTGTTTTTTTCCTCCTTTACAAAAGTGCAGAAACACAATACCTGCTATTTTCCAATACATTTATTTCACCTGGGTGACCCTCTCAGAAAAGATGTGGATTAGAATCAATTCCTTTTCTGAATTCGTTGATCTTGGTGCATAGGAGCACAGAGGAGACGGGATTTGGCCATTGCCAGGAGCAAGGGCAGATTTTGGAGGAGCAGGAAAAAGGTGGATGTGAATTGGCCATTGCTTGATATATAGCAGTGGTTCCCAGTCTTTTTTTGACTAGAGACCACTTTGACCAGGGACCAAAAATGTTATGAATCAGTTTTTGGTCAACTTTAGATTTGGTTTAGTTATTTGAGGTGCTGGTTCAGAAAAGTGCATTGGATAGACCATGTCAGCTCTGGTTTCTAATACAGAACATATGCCATCCAGTAGTCGCCATCTGCTTGCTCACAGAAAACCGTATTTAATAATCTAGAGCTGATGTGGTCTATACAATGCAGTTTACTGAATCAGAACTCCACATAACACCAGGAGCAGGCCTAAAAACACCAAGGCGCTCCTGCTTCCAGGCACCACATGGAATGGCTCTTCTTAGGGGGAAGGAGAAGAAGGAGCAGTCAGAAGGCTTGTTGTCATGCCTTTCATGGGTAGTCATCCTCTCCCCTCCCAACATCCCCGTTTCCTCAGCATTATAAGAGGGTTTCATGAGACCAGTCCCTCTCGTTGCAACGGTGTAGTAACGGTGAGGCCGCGGACCATATTTTAATTCTTGGAGATCACTGGTGGTCCATGGGCCACAGTTTGGGAACCACTGATATATATGGATGTTGCTGAATCAGATTGCCCTTGGGGACTCTTTACATTCTGTGCTCTGTGAATACTTGGAAGAAAAGCTGGGAGGAGAAGTATCTGATGAGTGTTTCAGTATATTTAGAAGGCTTTTCATTATTTTTTTTGAGGGGGGGGGCAAAAAACCTAATATTTGGGTTGGTTTTTTGTAAAAAGAAATGTTTCTTGAGACTTGTGAGATGTTGGGGAAGTAGCAGGGGCCAACATGGGCTTTGGAGTTCATGTCCAAGAGCTGCATTTTGGCCATCCAGGTTTAGTTGTTGGAGCATTGGACTAGGACCAGGGTTGAAATCTTACTCAGCAACTCAGCATGGCAAACCTCTGAAGAAATCGCCACAAGATCCACCATAAATCGAATCAGCTTTAATGTATATAAGAATAATGCAGCAATTGCAGCAGTAATGCCTGCAAATAAGAATGGCTGAATTTCTCAAATCTTTTTTGGGAAGGGGTGGAGTGGGAAACTTCTAGGTGTGGCATTGCCACATCCCACCCACCCTTGCTTGCTAGGTGTTCCTAATGCTTTGGGTGTTCCCAGGTGTGGAGCAAGTACGCAAAGAAGGTGTCAGATCTGGCCAAGCCCGAGAACATCGATAAAGCCGTCCAGTGCATGAATGAGCTCATCACCAACGCCTTGCATCACGTCCCCGACGTCTTGACATACTTGTCCCGACTGAAGAACCAGAGCGTTTTCAACTTCTGTGCCATCCCCCAGGTAGGTTGGAGTGCTCTCTGAAGGTCTTTGCACCATAGTTAACATCTCTTTGCCAACCCTCCCCTCCATTCCTACCTAAACACTCAGGAGCAGGATCACACAAAGGAGGGTATGTTCAGGATGA